ACCAGCACAGTCGACACAGCTGCATCCTCATCCTCATCATATTGTAATGAACAGAAAGGCATTTGGAAACAGTCTGACTTTAATGTTGTTGGAATTCTTTCAATTCAGTGCCCTTTCCATCGCCGACATCTGCACAGTTACCAGTGAGGAAAAGAGGAGCACAAGATGGAGAAAGCATGGCTTTGAAAAGCTCCCTCCCTCCATCCTTCCACTCGCTGTGAGGTTTGACTCATTAACAGGGCACTTCAGGGTCACTTCACCTGAGCTTCATCATGTGCCTCCATTGTCTCACCACAACTTTATTCTAGTTTTTATTCTAAACTCTTTCAGGACACTCCTGCTGCTTTCATCCCCTCAGACACGCAGAACGTTCCCATTAAGTTTTTGGGGGGGGGGGAGGGGGGGCAAAGGGGTTTGCAAACGTTAAAGGAGCATTCAATTTTTAAATGCTTTTGAATGTTCTCTGAAACAAATTGTAACATTTAAAAATGTTGGACAAACATCCAATTAAACATTTTAGAAAAAAAATGTTCCATGAACAATGTATAGATATAATTTTCTTTAAAGGGGTCATATGATGCGATTTCAATTTTTCCTTTCTCTTTGGAGTGTTACAAGCTCTTGGTGCATAAAGAAGATCTGTAAAGTTGCAAAGACTAAAGTCTCAAATCCTCACAACACACCTCGCTTTTTTTGAATGATGAGCTTTGTAAAAATCGACGCGTTTCAGAAAGGCGGGGCATAGAGGAGAAACAATAATGTACAGTATGTGGAAAATAATGTGTTTTTTTTTACTTTAAACCGCATAAACACATTTCATTACACCAAATACACAAAATAATGTTATTTTTAGCAGCATCATATGACCCCTTTAATAAGAAGTACAGAAGTCAAGAACATGCTCTAGAAGAATTCTGTCATTATTTGCTCATCCTCAAGTTGTTCCAAATCTGTATGAATTTCTTTCTTCTGCTGAACACAGACGATTATATTTTGAAGAATGTTGGTAACCAAATAGTTTCTGGTCTCCATTGGCTTCCATGGTATTTTCATCCTTCCTATAGAAGTCAACGAGGACCACATTTTTTTTTTTTTTTTTTTTTAACCAACATTCCTCAGAACTTCAATCTTCAACAGAAGAAATAAACTCTCACAGGTTTGGAACAACTTGAAGGTTAATAAACCATTAGAATCATGGAATTGCAAAAATCAAATAACATTTCTGAATGGCTTAATTTGCACCGTTTATGACACACAGCAGCTTTGAGTGGAACAATCCTTCTCAGCACTTAAGAACTTTCTATTGGTGAAAATGGCATGGGTAAATTAAAGGATGTGACTGCTTACCCTTCGCTTTAACTGTTCCACAGCTGCCCGGCAACAGGCGACACACACCGGACTAATAATAATTTGAACCTGGAGAAGTTGTGAGCGAGAGCAGCCTGCAGATATATTCAGAGCAGAGAGCGCATGTGGGAAGGAAGTCGTCACAGGTAATTGATAAAGAGCTGGAGGAGGATTGATGCTCTGTGTGTGTATCATATTTAAAGTGGGAGAGCGAGCAGGATAATGTTGTGAGAGTATATCTGTGTTGCATCTTCCATGTAAAACCCTTCCATTCATCTGTGTCATTTAAAGGCGGCTGTCAGCGGCTTCTGACTTCCAGCTACGCAGCAGAGCCACAGCGGAAAGAATTTATTTCTAAAGTGACTGTCTGTGGACGGATAATCTGTCTGCAGCAAACACAAGCGAGACACGAGCACTGCGACAGAGGAGTCCACACACTTAAACAGAGCCAAAAAAACATGCAAACGCTCGCCTGCATATTCAACAAAGATGCATTAAATTGATCAAAAGTGACAGTAAAAACATTTAGAATCTTACAAAAGATTTCTGTGCTGTTGCTCCCGAGTGAAAAAAAAAAAATGTTTTCAACATTGCATATTCAGCCTATTAGAATGATTTCTGAGTGATCATGTGACACTGAAGACTGGAGTAATGATGCTGGAAATTCAGCTTTGATTACACCAATAAATTACATTTTACACTATTTTCACATATAAATCAATTTCAATCATGACAACTCTCGGAACATTTTAGCATGGTGATGGATATGACAATGTTAATGTATTTGGTCTTGGCAGAACAGATCTGCTACACTGCAAGGCAGTAAGCTCATTGGCTGCATATGCAGCATGAACCAATCAGCTTGCGCCAAGTCGTTTAACTCTCTAAATATCATCAGTTATGTTAACACCCCGTCAGAATGCACCATCTAGAGTTTCATCAACACAACTTGCCGACCTTAAACTTTGTATGCTGCACAAAGTAGACTGTACATTTAATGTTTTGTCAAATTGATGCATAAATGACAATAATAAAATATTATATGTTCATTCAATGTCATATCAAGGTGGGAAAAAAATGCCTTGATTATAGACTTTTATTATATGTCTTGTAATAAACATTTTGAATCTCCTTGCCCACAACAGCTGTCAGGTCTATATAAGCTATACATTTTTTTTTGTCACATCACGCAGCCCGACTGCCAACACTTACACATACAGATCTAACACATACTCAACACTCCTCTCTGCTGGACTTCACAGATTTATAAAGAGAAATCTGCGTGCGAGTTCATACTTTATGTCTGTCATACTTTAAGCCAAAGCCTGTGTATTTCATAAAGGTTTGAAAAATTGCCCATTTTGGCCAGAAAATGCGGGCAGATTTCTCAAGCGTATGCATGGCCCTGCAGTTTTGTAGCGTTTTAGCACATCTGCTCCCCGTGAATCAAATAGCTGGTGGTGAAGCAAAGATCTACAAGCTGTAATAAAAAACCTCTTACACATAATGAGCTTTTATTTTTATACTTCATATCCTCTGCACATTTACATTTCTCAACTATTTTACTTTGAAAACTGGCTTCAAACAGAAAAGAACAAACTTTGCACGTCAAATCACGTGTCTTGAAGCTACTAGTTTTTTTAAGCAATCAGAATTACAATGTATGTATGTTGGATGATAAAACAAGCAGGCACTACACACATTTGAAGAAAATGTCCAATTTTGTTTTGCTCTACTGGTTCTCAACCTAAACCACGTCTTCAATTAAACCTAGAACTTAAACACATGTATAGTCATGCTGATCGATTACACCCACCTATACATATCTGCAAAGCCATTTTCATTCACGAGTCCATATGTCAGATAAATGAACGCATTTTGGAATAAAGATAAAAATTGGTTTGCTGTCCATTATGAAGGGACTAGAGGTTCCATAAGGACTGAGTCAGGCAGCAGACCTGAGTGAAATAAATACATACATACATAAATCAATATATATATATATTTTTTGTCTTGAAGAAAGTTTACTTTAATGACTCTGCAGGCAAGTTTTATTCTTGCTTTAAAAATTAACCTTACTAAATATTGTTTACAAAGCAAAAGTTACTTTACAATCAAGCAAAGAACAATTTGCTAATGGTGTAAGCGAACTTTATTCAAGGTTAATTCTGTGTCTTATACATGCAATTGTCATTCTAAAATAGTTGTGTCCTGTTTTAAGGCCATTCAGATATGCTACTGGAAAAATATATAGTAGTCTTTAAACATATAAAACATATAAACATAGACGATAAATAGTCTGGTCAAAGATGTTCCATCCATGTTTCGTGATTGCTCAAGCCTGCATCAATGGACCAGTGGTGATAACTGAATAGACACTCGTTTTTTTTGTTTTCATATTATATTCTCTTGCAAATGTCTATTCACACAAGTCCCGGCCTGCCATAAGGCTCTCACCCATTAGAGTGGCAAGAAGTGAAACACACTAATAGTTTACAGTGATGCCAGCACAACAGTGCAGAATCCTTCAGATTTGTGCTTCTCCACATGGCTGCAGTTGTGTGTGTACATAGAAAGATGGAAACTTGGGTCTGAGAGTGGAATGGCACTGAGGAAACACACACACGCACGCACATACACACACACACACACACAAACGACCCAAGGCCTGTAAGCAATTGCGTTGGGGTTTGGACTCCACATGAGAGACATGTGAGTGAAAAGTCATTAGATCTAAGAGAAGAAATAATTTGTCTGAATACAGCAATCCAAAAAAATATATATATTTTATAAATCATAAAGTAATTATTTCATAATTTCCACTTAAGCCATAACTATGTCGTATCACTCATAATTTTGAGTTTTTGTCATGACACAATTTTTATCTCATAATTCTGACTTTTTTCATAACTGACTTTTTATCTCAGAATTTTGATGTTTTGTCATAACTGACCTTTTATCTCATAATTTCAACTTTTTGCCAAAGCTATGACATCTTCTCTCATAATTTGCCGTTATGCCATCATTTCAATTTATCTCTAAATTTCGATTTGTCACAAAAAAAAATTTTCAGATTTTTTTTTTGCCGAGTATTTTTCACATATATGCTTAACATAACTGTAAGAAAAACCTGCCAGTGACACAAAACACATTTATATTTAATATTTATTCTTTATAAAATAAGTCATATTTTACATATTTTTACTTATCAGATAAATAATTTTTACTGGAAAACAAGAAAAAAAAAATCACAAATAATTTGTTCTGCATGTATGGTTAAACCGCATATCTGAGAAACAGTGTTCATACGTGTATCTGTGTTTGCCGGTGTGTGTGTGTGTGTGTGTGAAAGAGAGAGAGATCCCTTGCTGTCTCTATCTAATAAAACTGAGGTGTGTTTTTGTGTTTGACACCCTGAGCTTACAAAGCCCCTAACAGCCCTACCTGCAGAACAACACAGCAAAACACACACGCGAACACAGAGGACATGAGAACCGGTCTGACCAGAATGAGGGGTAGAGCAAAGGCCATCACCTCTTCTCAGAAAACCTCGAGGTCTCATATCAGCTCTCCTCTCCGCTGGTCCCTTCTCACAGCGGTTAACACATATCTGATGTTGTCACTGCGAACCGCTACTGAACCCTGAAACAAGGCTAGTATTTCCACGCAGGACATCTGCTATCGGATCCGCCCAGCGGCGCCCCCCTGCCCGTGTCGCCAGTCTCAGAGGATTTAGAGCAGGGCGACTCTGTATTAAAGACCCCAGGCAGAGTTCTGATCCATACAGGAAGTTCAAGGTCCCGTATGAAACAAGCTAAAGGCAGAGAGTAGATTTTCAACAGAAATGCCCACAAATATATACAAAGTACATCTCAAGAAAGAAACACAGTCAGATATACAGAAACCCAGCTAACAGGGAACATTCTCACAACTTGCACTAATGTTTTTTTTTTTAAGTTATATAAATGTTAGGACAAAATGTTCTTAAAGTAATGTTTATGGGACTTATTCAAATATTTGATATGTTTGATATACATTCTAAGAAACATTTTTTTTTTTTTATAAACTTTAAATAACATTCCAATCACGAGAAGAAATGGGACTTATTCAAATATTTGATATGTTTGATATACATTCTAAGAAACATTTTTTTTTATTTTTATAAACTTTAAATAACATTCCAATCACGAGAAGAACACTTTTAACATTTATAAAATATTAAAAATAAATGGTCAAATAATGTTATATTTTGGGTGAAAACTGCACATTTTAAAGTTCTTAGAATATTACAAATACATGGTCAAGTAATGAAGCTTAGTATAATGAAGTTATTACAGTGTTCTATAAAAATGTTTTTGCAACCTATAAATAAAGTTATACTCACAACAACTGGACGTTTTAATATTCTCTGAAAATTAACAATAACATTCAAATAACATTATATTATGAGTAAAATAATGTCAGTAGAATGTTGTAAGAAAATGTTGTAACCTTTAAATAGCTTTATAATCACAACAAGGAAATTGGACATTGTACAACATTTTAGAAAAAAATTAAAAATAAAAAGCATTGTACTGTTTTCAGAACTTTGGCTAAAGTTCGGGCAAGGTTATGAACAAACAGTTTTTCCAGTAATGTTAACATAATGTTCATTCAGAGTTATCTGGTTTTTAATAATGTTAGAGTTAGAGTTTGCTTCACAGATGTGAACTTTGTGATTTTCACAATGCACAACATTTTCAAGATCCACATGCATTCGTTTAGTCGTTGTTTTTCAGGCAAAGCGCACACACACACACACACACACACACACACTGACCACATCCTCATCTCACTGTTGTCAGCACTGCTCTCTCTCTCTCTCTCTCTGATGAACAGTAAATATGATTTGATTGTAATTGTGGTCTTTGCCTCATGCGCAGTGAGAGGTTGACGACCCATCACAGCATTCAGGAACACTTTATTTAACAGACCGGCCGTCTGCCCACAGACCAAAGAGCCGAGCAGAAGAACAAGACGACAGCTGTCATTTATTCAGCTGTATTTTTTATTATTATTATTATTATTATTATTGTTGAAATTATTATTATTATTATTTTTATTATTAATGGAATAGAGGTTATTTTCTAACCATTAGGCAGTCGTGGCCTAATGGTTAGAAAGTCAGTCTTGTAACCCAAAGGTCGCGGGTTTAAGTCTCGGTACCGACAGTGATTGTCGGTGGGGGAGAGTGAATGACCAGCGCTCAGGTTTTGGAGCAGAGCAAATATAATTATATTTTCCCATCACACAGCTCCTATATTTTCTCTATTATTTGTTTTTATTTCACTCACCTTTGGGTCATTTTTCTTAAAACTGGTCCCTGAAGTGTTTACAATCCAAAGCAATCCAGTTTATTGGCCACAGAAATTACGTTAAAGTGTATATGAATAAATTGAAAATGTATGAATGCAGCCGTAAGCGACAATCAGAGTCACGGCTACCTCTCCAGTCCTCTCCAGTCGTGAAATGACTGACAGTGAGGCTCGATTATTCCGGGATCAAGCTCCCTCGACAGACTCATATCCCACATAATCAATTATGCAGAAGTGTTGCTGTGAAAAGCAGAATGACTCCCCTCTGTCCGCAGAGAGAAGCCCCTCTCTGACTGAGCTGACCGCATTACACTAGTGCAGCTTCTCCATTTATTGTTCAGTGGACAATAATTCATGTGCAGTGATTAACTGAAGCACGGCTTTATGAAAGCAGAAATATTGTCACTCTCATGAGGGACCAGCAAACTCAAAAGACCACCCCTTTATTTTATTATTACAGAAAAGATCAGACTTATATTTTGTGAAGAAAATGTAAAACTCACTGGGTACAGGACAGTGTTGCAAAATACACAGAAGGGCTCCATGCTAAAATGTAATACTTAGGGTTATAGACAAGCAATATTGATAGTAATGCATGTCTTGGTAAACACCACTAATAATCATAAAAAAAAAAAAATCTGCGTTCATATATTAAAATCTAAATATCTGAAAGTGCGGAAAGCTTTTAGCCATTTATCAGTTTTATGATCCCTTGTGAAAAATAAGTTCACTTTTGCATACTTTTAAGTACACTTACCAAAATAATATACTTAGGTGTGAAATAAATGTAATGTTTTCGGACACTGTGATTAAATGAAAATGAGTTATAACTGAAATGCAATTAACTGAACTATAAAGTGCTATTTGTAGGACTTTAATTAGTGCTGTCAAATCGATTAATCGTGATTAATCGCTTCCACAATACAAGTTTGTGTTTACACAGTATATGTGCGTGCACTGTGTATATTTATATGTATAAATACACACTCATACATGTATATATTTAAGAAATATTTACAAGGATATATATTCATTTTCATATATGATTTATATTATATAAAAATATAAATTACATATTATTCTTAAATAAATACCTGTATGTGTGTATATCTATATACACAGTACATACACATGCACTATGTAAACAAAGTTTTATTTTGGATGTGATTAATCGATTTGACAGCACTAACTTAAATACATCTTAATATGTAATTTCACAATTATACTGTCTTTGAAATATGATTAAAGTGCACTGCTGAATGAACTGACAAGCATTTATGGTAAACTAAAATATACTTTCATTTCTATTGGAATCTGTTTGTTGTGTATGATGAAGTTTAAAAACATTTAAAATGTTAACTGTAATATTGAATAACACATTACAGTTAAAATTATAATCAAGTACTTTACATTTGCTTTAGTATGTTAGTTAGCACTTCAAAATGTGTGTAAGTCTTGTGTAAAAAATGTGTAAAAGTTTATTTAAAACGTATGTATCTCAAAGTAAAACTTTTATTTGATATTAAAAAGTGAACTTAAGTGTTTTAAGAATCAGTCATGAATGAGTACACTTAAGTGATTTCATTACTTCTATTCAATAAATCTATTTTTAAGATTTGAATTACTCTGTCAATATAATTAAACACATTTTGTTCAACATTTTTAGTATTTACGTGCTGTAAGAAATTAGAGGATCCTTTACAGAGGGCAAATTACTATGCCCTTCATCACAAATGAAAAAAAAAAGAATTAAAAAGCATAAGGAAACTGCTCCCTTGTGATTTGTTGATCTGGTTTATTTTTCCAGATTTAAGGACATATTTGCACGGAAGGTCCCCACCTGTATAATGAATTAATTGAAATAATTATGAATGCCGGAGAGCTGGTTCCGATACGGAAGTCCTGGAGCAAGTGCGGGCTTGACGCCAAGAAAATGTGCTTCATTATTTATTCAGCCTCTACCTCCTTCTGTTTGTCAACATCACTCAGATGGATCCTCATCCTTCATCCACAGACACGCGCCAATATAAGCGCCACAGGCTCCAGACTGCAAGAGCCAATTAAATTGTGCCGCACACTTAAAGTAAACAACAGATCTTATCCAAAACATTACGTTATAGACTATGCTTTAATATAAGTATACAAATACAATGATCGTCCTCCACTCAAATCCAGATGCATCAGTGGGCAATTAGAGACACGCACAGAACAACAAACACTGTAAGACAAATCCTGTTCTATTTACAGTGAAAAACTGCCAGCTTTGGCTGCCAGAAATTCACAATGTTTCAGGAATTATAATAAGTCACCTGTGTATTGGATATTGAGTATTATGATAATATAATAAAAAATTTTAACAATTAAAATCTGTTTTGTACCTCACAATAAATGGATAACCACCATATAAATACAGGTGGTTAATCAAAATAATATAATTAAGGTTAATCAATAATGGCCTTTCTACGAACAACAGCACAGTATTGGCAACAAAGATAAAAACCTCTTAGGGTAACAGACATGACACTAAAATAATACATTCATTTACTTACTTGCTTACTTACTCGTTCGTTCATTCATTCATTCATTCAATCCGAAAGTTGTGATAACGAATTAATTGACTTCATTGTGGCGATTTACTAGCTACTGTTCAGGGTTAAACAGAAACAGAAGAACACATTTTTAGACTCTCCTCAAATATCACATCATCATATTTCTTTATCTCTTCTATCTTGCGATTGATTAATTCAGCAGTCACCGGGGTCACCCATTGATAAATGGAGAATATTTAACATTTAACTGTTTAAAATTCAAAAGAAAATCTCATTTCGTACTTAAACGAAACCAATGTAGAGTTGAAGGCGTTACCCTAATGTTCATCAATGTGACCTTTCTACCATTTGTGATCTATACTTGAGGCCAAATTTGATGATTCAAGCACCATGAACAGCTTTAATCATGCCTCAGTCCTCAGTTTACAGGTCCCCCCCCCAATGACTCTGAGAGCTCTCTGTTATGAATCGCAGTGCATTACAACAGTATTGACAACTTGACTAGATAAATTGCAAAACACATTTAATCTATGTTGTTAAACAACTCATATGTCTCTGTTATTGACAAATCAAACTGGGTACAATTCTCGGAAGCAGATAAATTTATAAACAAGATAAATAATGTTTTGTTTTACAGTAATAAATTAATGATTTCTTTACCATAAAAAAATATCACTGCAGGCTGACTATTAAACGTGGCTTTCTATACTTATCGAACACAGAGAAGGGATGGATAGAACAATATTCATCTATTCTCAAATGAATGAACTAATGAATGAACAATAGATTTGGAAAGTACTATTCAAAACCAAAGACTGTACTTGTTAAGTCTATGTTGAATATACGTCTTGTAATCGGACACTTTGGCCTTGACTGTTCTCTCCTGGGACGGAGATCTAACCAACTCATCAACTAAGAGTCAATGGCTCTCTCTCTCTCTCTCGCCTGGTTCTCTCAGTCTATGTCTTTCAATGAATTCAGGTCAATGGCTATAATTAAAACTAACTTCACATCAAAAACTTCAAAGACTTCACATCAAACCCCCAGATATGCTCAAATGTGCCACATCAGTGTCACTTGAAAGAGATGGTAGAAATAAAATAAAATCCCATCACAGCTATCATTAGCATGCTGTAACAATAGAGAAAACACTTTACCAGCACTCTGAAGATAATATAAATGTTGATTTAAAGTGCACCGGACTGTTTTGAGACAAGCATTGCTTACGGTTATTGGTTAACTCGGTTTCTGATGTCTGCGTGTGGCTTCAAGGATTAAAAGCAAACTTCAGCTGTGATGATGAGGAAGGGATGGAACAACTCACAGCATAACCATGAGCATGATATTTTGCCCTGGAACACAGTCATAGCTTTAAAATCAAGAAAACTGGCAAAGTCCCTAACTCAGCTACTCCCAACCCCAATTCCTAAACCTAACCCTAAAATCTTAATGTTGTTCCAGAAACCTGTACTTGGCAAATCATGCTGGATGGACGTAATGGACGTAATGGAAGATAAAACTTGACTTTTCTCCCACTCAAACTCAGAGACAGACCAACAAACAATTAAAATGTCTAGGGGATCAGATCCAAACATCTCAACCATCCGCATATATTCTCAAAATATATCTGTTGGATCTAATAGAGAACAGACAGTGACAGTAATGCTGGAGCTCTCACCTCTGTTATCCAGACTGTGTTTATGGTTGGCCTCTCCCATGCCTTTCCCCAGACTGTCCACACTGTGGGTGCCCTGGCTGCACAAGTCATCTTCTAGATGTGCTTTCCCATCTAGCAGATGTCCGGGCTGCTCGTCCTCTTCACAGTCGCAGTCGTCGAGGATGGGGGTCTCGCGGATGGGCATACCAATGACAGAGCTGTGCTGGAGGGGTCTGGGCCCACGGAAGCTGTCCCTGCTCTGCGGAGGGCCCAAAAGAATAGAGGGGATGTAGTGAATCTCATGCGTGGCCTCGGTGCTGGCACTCTTCTGAGGGGCACGACGACGCCTGCACCAGCGCTGACGGGTATAGAGTACCAGCGTGAAGAGTAGGATAACTAACAGAAGAGCAATCAGACCACCCTGGAAGAGAAAGGACAAGAGAGAAATGTCAGAATTCCAAAAGAAAGAACATTCAAAGATTTTCCCCACCATGAACTATCCTGAAATTACAGCCATTTACTATCTGCTCAAGACTCCATGAGGAGACACCCATCAAAAAAATAACGGAAGCATTTCTGGAGGCTGTAGGACAGGGGAGTCTAATCCTGCTCCTAGAGGACCAAAGTCCTGCACAGTTTAGCTCCAACCTGCCCCAACACACTTGCCAGGAAGTTTCTAGGACTGCGTTCCAGTCAGTTTGTTTATGCCCTTCACTTGCAAACTTCCCTCCGTCTCGTTTACTCGGATGTACGTCATCGATTACATTGCACAAGTGCCCACTACTGGCGGAACCCTTGGAATGGGCTGAACTGGAATGTCCTAAGCCCTTGATCACTTAGAATCTGCTATAGAGTTGGTTTATTGTTTACATTTTCCCCTTACAAATTTGTTTGGTACAGCATTCTATATGTATATAGGTATGTTTGGGCTGTTATAAATGTTTATAAATGTTGTTTGGGGTGGGGATAAATTAAACACGATCTGCGATTACGTTATAATTGTGTTGCATTGTGGTCTGTGGAGTGGCCTGAAGTGTGCATATGAAGCAGACTCACTCCCTCGGTCAAAATCGAGGGGTCGAGGGTCTGTCCATATAAACTTCCCTCGTTCACTTCATGAAGTGGAACACACTTCAAAATGGCAGTGGGGATTCCCCCGAGGGGAAGTTCTTAGGGAAGTTCACGAGTGCGTGTCTAAAAGTTGAGTGGAACGCAGCATAGTAATTCTGAAGGTCTTGATTTGCTGGTTCAGGTGTGTTTTAATAGGACTGGAGCTAAACTCTGCAGTAGAGTGGTCACCAGGATTTTGCCATGAAGGAGCTGCTCCTTTTTTTTTGGTCCTGCAAAAACACTGCTGTTCTAACCCTGATTCAAACCAAACCCTAGCCATTAGTCAACTCTAAATTCATAGGTTTGACATGAATGTTGTTGAAGTCTTATGCCCAGGACAATCCAAGCCTTAGACTAAAACTAAACATGTTTAGTAAATAGATTATTCATATTCTACTACAGGGATGTCCAATCCCGTTCCCGGAGGGCCACTATCCTGCAGAGTTTAGCTTCAACTCTAATTAAACAAACCAGAACCAGCTATTTAAGGGTTTTAGACTCACTAGAAACTTCAAGGCAAGTGTGTTGGAGTTGGTTGGAGCTAAAATCTGCAGTATGTTGGCCCTCCAGGAGAAGGATTGGACACCCCTGTTCTACTGGGGCAGGGGAGTCCATTCCTGTTCATGAAGGGTCAATGTCCTGCAATGTTTAGGTCCAACCCTAATTAAACACACCTGAACCAGGTTAACAAGGTATTGATGAGTGCTGGGAATTTCCATACAGGTGTGGTTTGGGCACCCCTGTACTAGGACCAACAAGAACAGGGTTGTCCAAGCCTGCTCCTGGTGGGCCAATGTCCTGCAGAGTTTAGCTCCAAGCCACCCAAACAAACTTGTCTGTAAGTTTCTAGTAATCATGTAGACCTTGATTGCTAGTTCAAGTGTATTTGGATTAGGATTAGGGAAGATAGTGACCTTCTAGTAGTAGGATTCGACATCCCAAACAAGGATGTTGATCTTTTCCAATGTCATACATGGTGCATTCATGGCCAAATCAACTTAGCCTATCTCTAGAATCCATGTTGTTAATAGCTGGACCAACCTGGTATTTTTGAACTCTCACATATTCATTAAACTCTCACAATTAATGCAGGAAGTGACATCAATGACTAAATACCTCTGAGCACACACACACACACAGCTATCGCAGCTATCGCACATGACATCAAAAAACTAAAATTTGTGGTCTGTACCTTCTGTTCCTTCCCTCTCTATTTTTCCCTGCAGTACTATATAAATGACTAGAGTGGTGTTATTAATCTCAGAATTTTAAAATTCCATCTTCATGAGGAAAAACAAACCCCTCTCAAATTACAGCTCATGCACTGCCGGCTGTCCATAAATCATAGCACTGTAGATGGGCATTTTCGATGGGAACAATGCAGCCCCGACCAAATGTGTTCATTGATCTCCAGCTGGAGCTCAGCCACTGAAAGTAAACTTCCCTCAAAGTAAAATGCAGAAAAATGAGAAAGGCTAAGCCATTCTTTAAACTTTCAAACACTCCTGGGATTCTCTGTGCACACTGTCTGTTGTCTTAAGCTTGAAAACAATGGGGCCGGTTAGCAAATGTTATGAATGGAAACTGAATCACTTCAATAGATAAAAGAGTCAAGCTGCACAGGAAAAAAAAATGGTTTATACACTTTTACTTACTTTTTATTGTATTATTATTATTATTATTTTTAATGTTATGGATAAAGGCAGAACATTTCAAAATGAGCAACTGTATTGCATAATATCGCAGATCAAATTAGATGTCTTTTGGGCACTGTACAATGTTAACACCATTTTTATTTTTTTTATTTTTTTTATTCTATGAAGTATATTGTACTACTATGAAAGACCATGACATATGGTAATCATTAAGAACCATGGTATTACCATAACTGCAGCATGCTACTACCACCACAGTACTTATATCAAGGGAGATGAATATATTCAAACATCAGTACACAGTTTTTAATTATTATTATTATTATTATATGTTTTTAATTTGTTTTTGTTTTTAATTTCATGTGCCAAACGTGCCATCACCCAAGCAAACATCTGGCCAGGCAACAAGAGGTCTCCAGGCATCCAGTAATATTTTGTTGAAAAGATAACGAAGAATAAACAAAACCATAATGCATGACAGACTTCTGAGACCATCTGGCATATTAGTAATAATCTTTGAAGGCGTTCCATTAGATGCACAATACACAACCTGCAGCTCAAAACAATCAAAGTACAGTCTTAGGAGAACTCAGATGAAAAACAACAGAACATAAACAGAAAGTAGGCAATTTATTTTAATATCAACATCTTACGAGGTTCAAATGCACTATATCTTCTAAAACATCATTTTAAACCTAGCCACAAGTCAGGTGTATAAAACAATTTCCACCTGGTGAGTAATGAAGGTGAAAAATATTGCTCAAAAACCTCTTTACAACAGTCTAGCAACCACCCAGAGGAGCAACAAAATAATAATTCAAAACAAATTAGCAAACATATAAAGACATGCTGAAAACCATTTAGACACATTAGCCTTGTGGCAGCAGCAAGCAACATTCCCTAAATCTAGTTCTCGTTACATTCTAATGATGAGACATTTACCAGAGTAAATTGCCTCACAGTAGGGCAGATGAAGTAAATCACACCTCCAGCAACATGGACGGCCGGCCAGTGAAAATCATCCCCGTCATCTGTTCGCCAGGTGATCACAGCAGAGGAAGCCATGCCTTTAGGACAAACTCTGGGATAAAAAACAACACAACACAGACGAACCTCACCCAGCACCTGCTTCACTCTGTTCCCACCATCTGCGCCCAGGAAAACAACTCCCAGAGCTGGCAAAGTCGACGTCAACATCAGAGACACAGATGACATTTATCTCTCTGGCAAAAATCACATGGAACGTACACAGACACAGGCATACAAAACACAGGCCGCATAAGTAAAAGGACACATCTTGTAAGCTTATAATACGACGCACACACACACGAGTAAGGTTCAAAATCAAGTAAAGTTTATCCAAACAGCGTGCACCATGATTCTTTTGACCAAATTCAAAGGTAGCATTGCCTACTTTAAGCAGAGGGCTATCCCAGAATGCACTGCAACAAACTTTTATTTTAAAAAAAAGTCTCTTTAAACCTAATTTTGTTGTGCCTATTAAAATATTGCGGTGTCAGTTTAGCAACATGCTAATACCAAACTCTCTTGAAATCAAAGTCTGTAAAATACTCAAGAGAGTTCACTTGTTTTTCTATGAATGGTACAAACTGCAATGCAAAATATATCGGGTCTAGTAATAAAAGTCTTGCCTTCTAAATAAAAGAGCTATTTGGTAGTCATTGCATCATTGCAGCTGCTTTAATGTGCTCTAGATTCAATGGAAACCTGAGACTTGTGATTGCAACAGCACATGCACACTGGCAGGAACAACATGAAAAGTGAGGTTATTCAATTGTTAGTCTCGCGTAGCCAGACCTTCAGACTGACGGCTGAAGGTCTGGAATCCATGGCAGCTTTCATTGGCCCAAGCCCACCCAATCACAGTTCGTTTCGTTCAGCGTCACGTTTCGGGGTGTGGAAATGTCGCCACAATAACAGACCGGTGTGTAAAACTCTCAGACGTATTTTAAAGATTCTATGCCGCGAACTTGAAATATTTCACATACTTTTGAAAATCCAGCGTTTAGTTGATCCTGATAAGCGCTCATCACAGTCACAGTTGTAAACACCACGGCTTTCATCTTTGGTGAGGGGGTTTGGCGTCAGGGCATCTTTGTTTCCAGGCGGAACGTTAAAGAACGCGACACACACGTCTCCTGGAAATCCTGTATAATTCAACCAATCCGATGATGACTTCGAAACTCCTGAAGTGTTTCCACTTTTGTGTGCCGTATGCATCAGACGTTCAGCAAACGGTCCGTGGGCATGACGTCTGAGGCTGAGACTATTCAATTGTAAGCGACGATATTTAATCAACAGTGCATGTTCGATTTTATTGCTGATTTGAAATATGTTATTTAAATTTGAGTTTGAAAGGCAGATTTGAGATTGCGGTATTCCCCTATTCAAATAGAGAGGAGTTTGTCTTGCATGCCCAAAATAGATGGCCAGAGGCATTGCGAATACGAGCGGACTGACTTTCCTTGAAAGGGACTATGCTTGAGTCTCCTGTGTGCATTGCGTGAAGGGATTTGCTGTCTATTTAGAGCATTTCAAAAGACAACTTTCCTCCCTGTAAAAGTCAATTCGAAGCAAATCTGTCTTTTTTGGATGCTTGTGAGCTGATCAGTCAGGGAGGCTAGCTATAACCAGC